AGTGGTATGCATGATGAGGACTTTATTAACACTTGTATATCATGTTTCTAGTCCAGCAATGACTGCGTGCTATGTACTGTTAAGTCTTTTGAAGACTTTCCAGTTTAATAAACCAAAACGTAATCCCCTCTGCCTCCGAGTCAACAGTTCATCAGAATTGATTGGAGTAAAAACACTTAGTCAAGAATCTGAGTAGCTTTTCCTCTGGAGAAAAAGTTCAATACTTTATATTTAACATTAAATGCTGTAAAATAGACAAGTCAATCCTACAATCCAGCTATGATAAAAAACGTAGCCTCGGAGCTCCAGCAAGCAGCTCCGGGGCTTCTTCAAACTACCCACCAAATTACACTTTTTAATATGAGAGGAGAAGAAATTCTACAACAGGTGGGAAATAACCGTATAGGGTATATTAAGTTTGAATTGTTACCAGCATTGGAAATCAAATTTAGTGCATTTGGTCCTACCTACTTTGTGAGTGCAGCTCGTGGCATGACACTCTAGTTCAGTGTTTCTCAACCTTGGCAACTTGAAGATGTCTGGACTTCAACTCCTAGAATTCCCCAGCATTCGCTGGCTGGGGAATTCTGGGAGTTGAAGTCCAGACATCTTCAAGTTGCCAAGGTTGAGAAACACTGCTCTAGTTAAAGGCTAGATGTGAGCCTCCTCTGAAAAAAAACCAGAAATGCTAGAACAGCAATGGCAAACCTTTTTTGGCTCACGCGCCATAAGCGGGCGGAGCGCAGGGGGTTCGTGCGCGGGCGTGCTGCACCCATAACGCAATGCACGGCACCCCCTCAGAGCACATGGGCACATGACAGGAACTACCCCCCATTTTTTGCATGCTTTTTTCGCCCTGCCCAGGCTCCAGAGGCTTTATAGGAGCTTGGGGAGGGTAAAAACAGCCTCCCCACTGGAGACTTCAGGAGCTTCCCTGAAGCCTCCGGAGTGCAAAAAAACTGCCCCTGCGGGCAAACCGGAAATTCAGGAATGGGCTTCCGGTTTGCCCGTAGGTCCGGAGGGGGGGGGGGAAAGCTGTTTTTGTCCTCCCAAGGCTCCTATAAAGCCTCTGGAGCCTGGGGAGGGCGAAAAATGGCTTTAAAAAAGGCTGAACTCAGCTGACAGGGCAATGCCTCGTGTGCCCTGACAAATGGCTCCGTGTGCCACCTGTTGCATCTGTTCCACAAGTTCGCCATCCCAGTGCTGGGGGGGGGCCTTATCAAATGTTCAACATAAAGCAAGGAGATGTTGGTAGAAGAGTGTTGGACATAAAAATATACATTGGCTGGATGCCTGCACCCAGCAATCAGGATCTCGTGGTTTATTCCTGAGCTGGATTGGGATTAGGGTTCCGTGATGACCACTTTGGGACCGGGAGAAATGGAATGTTTCGAGATGCGTATCTCAAGACACGATTATCATCTGTTCTAAACGGTGTCGTCGATAATGCCTACCTTTCCATCTAACCCAACGAGAGACGTTAACTTCTCAATGCTACGGTGGGCTTTGCGAGAAATAACTACTTGTAGCGTAGCTCACAATAGATTTCAGAATGATTGTCTAAAAAGAACACTCTTGGTGTAGAAGATCCCATCTTTTGCAGGACTGCAGGCTAAGTTTCAGCATAGTCGCGCTAGATGAAAGAATCTTAGCTAAGTGAGCTGGTAAGGACCTTTGCCTTGAGAGAGTAACTGATAAATGGTGGGAACAGTTCCACTGCTATTGACTCTCTGAGCTGACAGAGATGTGGGAGGAGGAATGCAAGAGGATTTGCTGCCTTATGCTCCCGGTAGAAAAAGGGGATGTGCATTCAATGAATAGAGCATAATAAATAATCTGCCCCCCTCTGCCATCATTTTTAAAAAGTAGCGGAAAGTACAATGTTTGCGTTTTGCTTTTGAAGTGCT